CAATTCGTTCATTTGCAACGCATACACCGACTTGAACCACTGCAGCCTCACCTGAACGTCTCTTTGAAACAAAAACAGATTTTTCACACTAAATTTGAAAAGTAACTTGTAAGGACCACAAAAGATTGAAGGATATGATCGAAAAGTGCAGTCATGAAAGTGTCAAAAGAATCCTATCACAGAATTCTGTTCTAACTATTGTGTATTTCTATGTAAGACACTCTGAGAAGAAACTCCTTCTTTGGACACTGCAGTCCAAACAGAAATCATCTGTGATGAAATGAGATTGACCAACAAAATGTAGCACAATCACAAAAACATGAAACAAAACTACAACACGTTTGACCTTTTTTATGGTTTCAAAGACGTCTTCAACAGCCAGTGGGACGGCACCGGGAACGTGATCACTCCCCATCATTGTGAACGTCTTTCCGGAGGATGTCTGACCAGAAGCAGAGATGGTACCTGTTTAAAGCAAAAACAAAAAGGCAGCAACATTTACATGTGCACAGGAACACGTACAATGTAAAGCTTTATGATGTCATTACCATTGTATCCTCCATTTCATGAAAAGATGATGAAAGAGTGGAATAGGAAAGAATATTAAATGTGATGTTGTTCACATCAAATCAACTGTTTATATCATGTATTTGCTTATGCTCGCTTGTGTAGTCATGAAGCATGTGATGTATTTTGGAGAAAGGGGAAGCAGATATGCTGCGTCAGCAACAAGTTTGCTGAAGAAGGAAATGTGCGCATTGTTAAAAGGGGAAACAGATACGCTGACAGCAACAAGTTTGCTGAAGAAAGAAATGTGCGCATTGTTAGAAGGGGAAACAGATACGCTGCGACAGCAACAAGTTTGCTGAAGGAGGAAAAGTGCGCATTGTTAACAAACGAACGGGGTGGCGCCAGGGAGGATGAGATGGCCACTCATCCCTCCCTTCCGCACACTTCTAGGTGAGATAAAAAGAGAGTCGACGACTCTCTGGGTCAGAGTCTGCTGCGGGTTGCGTACGAAACGCCCAGCTGGTACTGAAGCTCGCTCTGCCCAGGGTGTCGGCTCTCCATCCTAAAAGCGCACGGTAAGAGAAATAGAATAGCTTCATACATTTGTTTGTCTGATTGTTGAACATTATCTTTGCGGGCCGATGATTGCGCTATTGTCGGTAGCATCGTAATGTACTTGTTTGTTTGAGTGCTTGAATAAACTGCTGTTGCTACTAACACCAGAACTGTGTCAAGCGTGTTTCATTTCTGAGTGCCTATCTCCAACGATCCTATCCTAAATTTGATACTGAGCCAAGGCAAGGTATCAGAAATGTTTTAAAACAAAGAGCATCATGGATCTGCTGATATTTTGTGTTCGTTGTCCAGCTGGAACTTGGCCAATTTCCTCTGACAACTGCAATGACTAATTGATGCAGGCTGATTTAAAAAAAAAACATGTTGACAACCCTTGGCTAGAGCACTCCAAATAAGATCCCGCATCATATGCCCGAATGGGCGTCAGTCCATGCCAAATCACCCAGCGGATTTTGATTTTCATGAAACTTGCAGTAGTTGTAGATCGTGATGGCAACTCGACTCAACTGTATTTCTCGAGCACTTTCAAACAGCCATCGCTGCATATAAAGTGCTGTACATGGAGCAATTAACATATACAACAAACAGTAAAGCAAATCGTAAACAAAGAAAGCACCAAACAGCAAAACCAAGAACAAATCTTAAGTCATGCCGAGTCAAATGCCAAAGAATGTTCAGTGGGAGGTCATTCCAGAGAGAGGGACCAGCAACGGAAAAGGCTCGATCCCCTCTGAGCCTCAGTTTAGTTCTTGGTACTTCTAATAATGTTTGGTCCGCAGACCTGAGGCGCCGGGCAGGTGTGTAGGGGCGGATGACCTCAGAGAGGTAAGCTGGCGCGAGGTCATTTACAGATTCGAACATAACTCTAAAATGTATGGGGGGCCAGTGAAGGGATGCCAGAGTCGGAGTTTTGTGTTCCCTATTACGAGTACCAGTCAAGAGGCGAGCAGCGGCATTCTGGACCAGCTGGCGGACTGGCTGACTCCAAAGTAAAGGGCATTGCAGTAATCGAGCCGGGATGTGACAAAGGCATGAATTACTGTCTCAAAGTGTTCATGAGAGAGGAGAGGTTTTACTTTGGCCAGCTGGGCTGCGTTATAGAGAACGGATGACTGGATGATTGCCATCTATTAAACTAAACCTAACTAATCAGGACATAGCAGGCCTTGAAGCACTGCCATATCCTTACCCTTCACTTCCTAATTCTGGAAAATGTCCACCTATGTCCTAAACGAGTGCAGGTATTTAGGGTATTGACTGACTGACGGTCTGGCCAGGTTTTATCTGGTGCTGCCTCACCACAGCAAATCCATCCCAGATGTGAAGGGACATGTCCCAGTGTTTTCAAGCGACCAGTAAAAGTCATCCTGACACATGATGAAAGAATGTCTCGCCTTATGAAGCATTCGGTGGATATGAGTGTGTGACTGTGACAAAAGACAAAAGATGAGTTGGAATACTTATATGAGCTGCGGCATGAAGACAGATATGAGTCTGTGAATAATCCAGGAAGGGCTCAGGCTATTTTTCAACAATATCACTTGGATGGAGATGAATTGGCCTCCTTGCTACCAGGAAGCTGAACGAATGGTCAAATGTTTGTTTTATCGGCGGGGAGGAGAAGAGCACAGTGTTTACATTAGCCAGGACAGAGAGTGGGCCAAGGCGGCTCATTGGAGGGAATTCAAAATAGTGTTCACAAGGAGGGCACCTTGAGGACGACAACCTGCTGTCCATAAATGGGTAAAAGCTTGGAGAAGTAGCTATTACTGAGAATGATCCATGGCGACACTCTGCTATAAGC